TGTGTGTGTGTGTGTGTGTGTGTGTGTGTGTGTGTGTGTGTGTGTGTGTGTGTGTGTGTGTGTGTGTGTGTGTGTGTGTGTGTGTGTGTGTGTGTGTGTGTGTGTGTGTGTGTGTGTGTGTGTGTGTGTGCGATGCAGGGATGTGCACGTACAGTGATTAGGTGATCTGCTTCCTCCCTTTCATGTGTTTTTAGTCTCCTCTGCTTTGTTCCCTTTCTTAATTACAGCCGAGCTCTCCTCAGAGAGCGTGTAACCCACTCCCCACTTCCACAGCAGCATCCCATTAAACACACGCACCCCATGCCTCCCCTCTACCTTTATGCAGAACACAATTAAAACACGAGGAGAGATCAAAAAGATGCCAGCAGCCTGACGAGGGTGATGTTTTTCTGAGAAATGCAGATTTGTCTTATTGATGGCTGCCCCGTTTGGATATCATTACGGGACAGGAGTAATCAGTGGAGCTGCATCAGCATTTAACACACACACACACACACACACACACACACACACACACACACACACACACACACACACACACACACATTCCACACACACACATACCAAACACACACACATACCACACACACACACACCCAAACACACACACACCCACACACAGACACATACCACATATACACACACACACACACTCACACACACACACATACACATACCACACACACACACACACACACCACACACACACACACACCACACACACACACACACACACACACACACACACACACACACACACACACCACACACACACACACACACACACACACCACACACACATGGACAGATGCTTTAAACTAAGTATTTGAGTTATTAGTGACTTGGTGATTTTTGGGGTTAGTGCATTCTAGACTTGTTGTTGGAGTTAAACAGCTGATCGGCAGTAACAGGAGACCTAATATCAATTAATATTTTCATCACAAACATCAAAGGTTTTGTCAATATAAGCAAAGATTTCTTCCCCAGTGTCAGTTTCAGTGTCCTGGAACATTATGTCATCCAGTCACGCCACCAAATCACCAAGTTTAGTCCTAAACCCTGAATGTTTTTTATGTTTGAGTTGGCAATATTTTTTCCATTTTGGTCACATTTTTCAGAAGTGCAACTTCACTTGAACCTGAAATCATACGGGCCATTTTATTTTGTTATTGCAGCTACCATTGGGGTCACTGAGGTCATGTCCTCAGTACTTTTACTAAGAATTGTATGGGATTCAAACATTGACAGGTTTCATCAAAAAAAGATGACATTATTTAAAATATGGCATTCTGATCAAAGGGTATGGCTTTGACCCAGCATGAAGACCTTCATGCTGGGAAATTCAATTGACAGAAAAATGTAAGTTTATACATCAACAACAAAAAATAATAATTACATTTGGGGACTTTATTGTTGGTCTCTTGTCAAACAGAAATATATGTTTATGGCTTGAAAAATATATGTCCAATCAAATCATGTCTCCATATTTATTCAAAAATCCATATACAGTCCAACATTGCCACAAAAGCGTCGTTCTCATTGATTTGTGAAACCATTTGGCCTTTACACAGAGATACTGTGACAGTTACCACGGTGTGAAGTGAATGAAAACTGTGGACACATTTATTTAATTTCATGGTATAAACAATCCTATTGTCAACACCTAATATAATCCCTTCTTCAACTATTCCACAAATAAATTACTGAATTATAATTTTCAGAAATTGTTCCAATAAAACCTCTTAGACAAAGGGTTACAATTTAAATAGTGACAACATATCATGTATTAATAAGCTGATGCTCTAGAACTTGCTCCTTATTTCATCATCATTATTTGTTTTAAATGATCCAGGCAGTGTAGTGAAAGTCTCACAACTGATCCTGAATCAGTGCAATTTAAAAACAGTCATTTAACCTTTGTATTCACTGTTACAGTACCTACTTGTTTCCATATATTAATAATGTATTACTGATAATACACTATGACCGTTAGTGACGCTTTGCCTTCAGATTCTCTGTCTTTCAGTTCTCTTCCAGAGGATGTGAGTCTACTGCCCCCATGGAACAAGAAGGAAAAGGAAAATGTGTGTGTGTGTGTGTGTGTGTGTGTGTGTGTGTGTGTGGGGGGGGGGGGGGGGTGAGAGAGAGAGAGAGAGAGAGAGAGAGAGAGAGAGAGAGAGAGAGAGAGAGAGAGAGAGAGAACTGTAATTCATTCAGTTTTACCTTTTTTAATAAATGTTCCATGGATGAATTATACATATTGGATTATTTTAACTGTGCCTTAACACGCTGTTGTTAATTATCATATTGCTAGTTTTCTCCTCCTCTGTGGTGAATATTGTGAACACACATTACTGAGAATATTCCAACATAAAGCCCAGACCTCGGCCTGCTCAGCTCTTCTTCTCCTTCCTCCCCTTCTTCCCCTTCTTCTTCTTCTTCTTCTTCTTCTTCTTCTTCTTCTTCTTCTTCTTCTTCTTCTTCTTCTTCTTCTTCTTCTTCTTCTTCTTCTTCTTCTTCTTCTTCCTGAGAATCGACTTAAATCAAATCAGAGGAACAAGGCGCAGTTTGGCTCTTCTGGTACAAATACATACAAACAGATATTTCCCCCTAATCTTACACTACCACCTAATATCATATTTCATACACGCCCGCAGACATGCCCGCTGCGCTATGTTTAATGTATAAACCCAGGCCTATAGCAGAGAGAAACGCAGATGATAAATATGCATGTATTCAATTAAGGGTATTACAGAGGAGCTGATTAGCATAAGGATTTAGGAGCTTAACATCATATTTGTGCTATAAAACTTCACTATAGCCTAAACGCGAGCTGTTTTGCGCGTGGGGGGGGGGGGGGGGGGGGGGGGGGGGGGTGATTGCAGGACAGGTATTTTTGGAAGAAGCGAGGAAAATAAAAATAAATGATACATATCAAGGAACACATTATAAAAATCATTTTGATATTGTATAATCGAATAAATCTGCAGCTCAAACATTGCTGCTTTATAATAACGAGAGGAATTTGAGCGGCTGGATGGATCTGGTTTTGAATCATTGAAGTGCTCGGATTGACTCACAGATCTCAGAGCGGTGTAACGCTCCCACACCGCTGGAGATACCGTCTTTTGTGCAGATCAAACCTCTCCTCCGGTCTCACATAAATCCTCTGATGACGAAGTCCACTTTCCCCTCCCAATTAAGAGCAGAGAGCTAATTAGAAGCAGCGGATCCGGGATCAGTTGAGCCTCGCGCTGTTCTGCTGTCTGTCTGAGAGGAGGTGAAGCCGCTGTTACATGTCATCAAGTGACAGAGAGGAGTCTGACTGGGGAGCAGATAAATAAATGAATAAATAAATACAAATCAATGAAGCAAAAATGCAGAGATGACACCCAGTGTCGCCAAAATGGTTTTATGCATTAACACAAAGTTCTACATAACAATCATGATGTGTTTAAACACGTGTATCAATACAATTCTGTATTTATTTTTATAACTCTACAATCTCTTTCATTTATTGGATTTTAATATCTCTAGGGAAATGTGATTTAACAATCAGATTTGAAAGCCTCTGCTTTCAATCTTGTCAAACGAATATATAAGCAACACTTAGTTTTGTACCGTGTAGTTTTGATTTGGAAATTAACCAAATGTACCTCTAAACATTAAACAATATTGAGTCAAAGTTGTGTTTTTGAGGAGCTAAATAAACAGTTTCAGAAAAACGTTGTTTTCATTTCTTTTCTTGTGCGCTTCTATTAGGGTTAGGGTTAATGTCTTTTGAACAATTTTTGTTTTAGGTTAGTTATTAGGGTTAGTTAGGGTTAGTTAAACTAATTCATTCATTCATTAGTTCTTTTGAACTAATGACAATGTCTTTTGAAATTTAAAATAAAAAATCAAGAATCGGAAGTGAGCCGTGTTCTTTATTTCATGGCTGGTTTGGTGACTGCCTGCAGTTCTGCTCCAGCCTTGTGGTGCCATGGAGAGCTGAGCAGCAACAGTGTGGAGCAACTGTGCGTCACAGGAGGAAAGGTCCCAGCAGAGCTCCGCGCACAGCTCCAACACCTCAGAGGACTGAACCTGCCTCACTCTTCTTCTCTCCTTTCAAATAACATTCAGAGCCGCTCCGGACAGACGTCAGGTTGGCCGGTGGTCCCATTGCTTCCTCAGACAGCTCTGTAAAAGTAGATCCAAACAGTTCGGTGGCGGCGGAACAGCCAATGAACACAAATGGTGCGTCGTGACGCAACAGGGCCCCGTTGATAAGGAGCGGAGAGTCCAACCGGGATCTGAGAAGGAGGAACGGCGGTTTTGGGGGCCAGCAAACACTCGCCTATCATCAGTCAACGTAAAGCCAACTCCTCCTCTTCTGCTGTTACGCACATGCAATCTTCTTGGCAAAAGACACAACATTATCCAAACAGACTACTGTAAAGGAAAACTGCTTCGGACGGCCAGCGGGATTGGATAAAGCTGCACGCTGCTGTGTTTCCTGTTTTCCACTGAAAAGTATTCTGAGCGACATCCATCAGCTGCTGGAAGCCTCAACTTGTAGCCTACTGTTGAACCCGGAGGAGAAGTCTTTCCCCGGCTCCCTGACAGCTTTTTGGACATATATTTTTGTTCTATCTTCCTGTGTGATGCTTTAGGAGGCTCCTGCCGGCTGTGGCAGTGTAGCAGAGTTGTTGTTCTGCACAAAAAGGGGAGACATTTTCCAATGACTTGCAGACTGTCGAAATCCTGAAATATTAGTCCCGGCGAGGAGCAGATATCGGTGCTGAGACACATGCAGCGGGGCTTCTGTTATTGGTATGTTTATTCATCGTACATGGAAGAGAAAATATAGAAAAAGCATTTGGTAATAAGAAAGAAATAACACCTTACCTTAGACTAAATTCGACTAAGAAAACCAAAATCTGTGCGGTTATTTATGAATTAATCATAGCTGATTAATAATGAGAGCTGCAGAGATTCGGATGACGATTTCCATTGGCAGATGAGACGTAGTGGGGAGAACACGTGTCCAATTTTCCCTCATATTTTTTCCTCCCTGATCTGGATTTTTCACTTGTCACGGCAAGAAAGGAACCCCTAAAATAGGACTTGTGAGAGGCGTTCCTGCGCCGGCTTTCGCCTCTGATGGACATCTTGGCTTGCAGATCCGAAGAGAACAGTTATAATATCATCCCCTCTGCGGCAACCATGCTTTTCCATGGCCTCCCTGGAGGCGACGTGCACGGTGTGGTGGAAGAAATGGACCGGAGAGGAAAGAGCGAGTCAGCAGCCATCAGCTCGGCCATCGATATGGGGGAGTCAGAGACGGTAGGAGACTGTGGCCTCGTTAGGGCAGCACAACATGTGACAGAGCTGCTCAAAGCCGTTTTTAAAGTGTTTTTAATTGCACGTTTTCACTTGGGATCGATCATAAACAACGATATAAAAACAAAGAAAATTAAAAAAAGATAAAGCAAGGAGAAAGATCTATAGTGGATACACATCAGGGCATTTGACTAAAAAGTGTTATGACTACGAGTCCCATTATATGTTTAAAAGGAAATATATCTGCAAATAAACATATCATAAAAGAATAATAAGCACATGAAATAGCAAAATTATACTTTCAATTCACACCGAACAACTGTCACACTAATGTCCCAGTCAGATTATTGTTTAGTTGCCTTCTCAAACTTCTTCCAAAAGGCCTGCCACTGTGATCCTGATCCTGCATGAAACTTATTTCAGTCAGCAGAGATTGAACTGAGCAGAGCTGAACAGGTTGCACAATTATTGGACTTATTTAATTTTTTACAGCAATTCATTTAATTAAATTATCCATTTTAAATGCCTCAAAACCCACAGTAAATATGGACAATACAGAACATATTCAGTGGTGCACAAACCAGTTCAAATATATGTATACAGGAAGATTAGCACAAACATTAACAGCCAAACCCAGTTGAAAGTGTATATTGAATTGACAAGTAGAGTATGATTGTGTTTCTTATTGTTTATTGTGTGCACACTTTCAATTAAATAAAAACACAACTTATAATTGTAAGGTTCGGTAGTCATTGTTAAATGTACTGCAATAATACATTAAAAAAACAACTAGAGAAAATGCAATGGAGGACAATTTAATTTTTATTCAGTTTCCAACTTCATTTGCAAATCATTTTTAGAGGATATACGTGTGTGTGCATGCACGTGCGTTTTTTAGGCCTCTCGAAAATAACATTTCATGACAGTCTCGTATCGAAGCGTTGTGTTCGTGTACGTTTAATTATCGTTGTTATTATCTTTAGGAGAAATGAAAAGCACATACATGGTGTCCATAAAATATAAATGTTCCTCTAAAAGCCACACCGCGTGGACATGTGCCTTATTAAGAAGGTTATATTAAAACACTTTAGATGCGTTTATAAATAAGTGTATTCTGCTGCTGTATGCAATTATTATAAATATTATTATCACTGTCTCATTTTTACTTTATAGTCTCCTGTAGTAGCAGTCATTCATATTCATATGTTATGGTTACTATAAGCATACACTTTCCTTGACTGTAATACAAATATTGCTATGATTTAGTTTATTACATTTTGGTCAAAGAGAGGAGTTTGCTTTGTCTTTATCTAACAGTTTTTCATTTTAATATCACTATAATATTCAGGCCTAATACTGAATATATATAATAATATATATATATATATATATATATATATATATATATATATATATATATATATATATATATATATATATATATATTGTTGAGACGAAATACTTTTTTTTAATCCTACAATTTGTCTTTATTCTTTTTCTAAAATCAGCCCATACGTGAGAGCTGGCCTCTGAGGCTGGATCTGATGATATTTAGTATTATTCTAAAGAAATAGAATCCTCTCCCACGTTAGCATGACTTAACGTCAGGCTAACGGATGTCATACCTTTTCTACACTGTATTTCTTCCGTCCTGACTCTGTGCCCTCGTGCCTCTCTCCTGCAGTCCCTGCCGTGTATGCCCGGGGAGCGCGTGGCTCTGTGCGCGGGCTGCGGCAGGAAGATCGCGGACCGGTACTACCTGCTGGCGGTGGACAAACAGTGGCACATGCGCTGCCTCAAGTGCTGCGAGTGCAAGCTGAACCTGGAGTCAGAGCTCACCTGCTTCAGCAAGGACGGCAGCATCTACTGCAAGGAGGACTACTACAGGTAGGGTCCACTGTCCATCCCATAGTGTCAGGGCTGTTAAGTGACACCGTTTGGAACATTTAGAGCCTATAAAGCGTGTTTCAAAATATGGTAAATGTGGCTTCTGGCTACGCATCACACATGACCAGGGATGGGAAATGTAAAAATGTAATTCCAAAAATACTTTATATTTGTATTTCCCTTGATTTAACAAAAAATAAATCAGGTTTATTTAAAAAAACACAGAATTAGCATTTTTTTTCTACGTCACATATTTTACCCTGGTAGGTTTATGGGTTTATAAAAACTGATAGTGAAATGTTTGCACTGAATACATGTCATATGTTGTGCCATAATTAAATATCTAAATAAGACCCTTGTAGTTCCATTAATTTTCTCAGTCTGAACATATACAACAGAAAGAAAGTAAAAACGAAAAATGGAAAGAAAGAAAGAAAGAACAAAATGAATCATGCTGACTGTCTGTGGGTCTAGCATGCTCTCAATAGAAAGACCCCCCCCCCCCTACACACACACACACACACACACACACACACACACACACACACACACACACACCCACACTCTCTCTCTCTCTCTACCCCACTAATCGCTGACTGGGATAGCTTTGGAAGACTCCACCCGTGCTTTATTATTATTCGAAAAGTGAAAATAACAGCGGTCACGTGTCCGATTTTGTTTAAGGCCACATCAGGCTAATGTTCATATTTCATATTTCAAATTAATACAGAGTGAATTAACCTGAGTGGTGCGCAGGAAAGTGAATGCATGTTTTTTTAATGCGTAAAAGTTCTGCTGCTTGCATTAGAAGGCATAACAGAGTGTGTACACACACACACACACACACACACACACACACACACACACACACACACACACACACACACACACACACACACACACACACACACACTTGCAGCCACTGACGAGTTTCTGTGTTGTCCGCAGAAGATTTTCGGTGCAGAGGTGCGCTCGGTGCCACCTGGGGATCTCGGCCTCGGAGATGGTGATGCGGGCCCGGGACCTCGTGTACCACCTCAACTGCTTCACGTGCACCACCTGCAGCAAGATGCTCACCACCGGGGACCACTTTGGCATGAAGGACAGTCTGGTGTACTGTCGGCTGCACTTTGAGACTCTCATCCAGGGAGAATATCAGACTCATTTTAACCATGCGGACGTTGTCCCGCACAAAGGCCTGGGCCCGGCCAACACTCTCGGACTATCCTACTTCAACGGCGTGGGCTCGGTGCAGAAGGGCCGGCCCCGGAAGAGGAAGAGCCCCGGGCCGGGGGCCGAGCTGGCGGCTTATAACGCAGGTAGGAGCATTTATAAAGCATGTTGCGAAGGAAAGCTGGGTCATTTAAAGCAATACAGACTGCTATCATCAATGTATATCATTCCTTTATTTTTGGTTCTTAATTTTTTTGTATGCGATCATGCAAAATATTAAAATATATATATCATCGCTGCCTATTGTAAATTAAAGGTCTCTCTCGGATCAAACCCGTTATTATGAAAGCTCTCCGGAACATTCCTGCATGTCGGGTCTGCGCCCTGCTTGTTGTCGGCTTTTTGTGGAAAAGTTGACATTATGTTTTTTTATAACCTGCGATTACATGTCTCTTAAATATGTATAGATTCGTATCTAAGCACACAACAGTTCTGAACACGCCTTGTGTCACTTTCATTCAGTGAGGCAATGTGCTAAATATTGACTTTATAGCGAAACTGTTCCACATTTCTTTAAAGTTTTATAGAAGTTAGTTTTGGTTTTGTCAGGAGCTGTGTGTTGTGTTCAGGACCTTCACATTATTATAGTCTGCAGTTCCAGTGAGCTGATGCTTTCTGTCAGAATGTCCATGTGGAGGCCAAACATTGTGCATGAATAAACCTGAACACTGACTGCACAAAGACAAGAGCATGCAAGCCAATAGGAGGCCAGGCAGGAGCAAATAGGCCTCCACAGAGAAGAACGACAAATCAATTGTTAAATGGTGGGAAAAGTGATTTACAGTCTAACGTTTGTTAATACAAAAATAACAGCAGTTACATATACTGACAGTTTGAAGTTCCACGTGTCAGATATGTGGATTAAACTTTTCAAACGGCTTCATTTAGATTTCATTAAGTCTATAATCTGCAGCAGTCTACGGTTTGCAACATCTCTGACTGTTGTAAATGAGCATCTTAAAAATAATGATGTTTAATGGTTAGTAGTCATGTTTCATTTAATGCAATCTGTGATAAAGAAAAAAGTTTTTGGATGCTCTGGCTTTTGCTTTGGCCCTTATTCACTTGTCAGTTTGAATAGACATCTACAGACCTCCCCCCCCCTCACGGCACGCACACACACACACACACACACACACACACACACACACACACACACACACACACACACACACACACACACACACACACACACACACACACACACACACACACTGGGGCAGGGTCAGCCTTGGTGTGTTCCAGAGTCAGTGTGATGTGAAGAGTTATTCACCGGAATAGAGAGCAGGGAGGAAACTTCCTGAAGGTAGAACTGTCTGGTTGGGTCTCATTTTTTATTCTTTAGTTAGTAAATCTTACTATTACTAGTGTAACAATAAAGTTGATTACAATCTCATCCACTAGTCTTGGTTAATTTAAATAAGTTGCTCCCATGTAAATAATCACCCCCCCACACTAGTTTCCACTGGAAGACTTATTTTTACTGTGTTTTCTACCTGAGCCAACACATCACTTTCTTTATTTTAAGATGCTGCCACTTATAATCATTATAATTAACCATACAAGTCAACTGCTCGAAAACAAGTCAAATGTTTCCACCTATCAGTGTTGGACTTTGCTTTAAGAAAATCGTTTGTTCTGAAATGATAAGAACAACATATTTCATCAGGAAGATAACAAGGAGAAAGGAAGCCTAGTTTCAGTGCATTGTGTGTTTTTGGTAAATACACTGAAGAGAAATCCTGTGAAGAGAGTCAGGAGAGGGAGAGGAGTGCGCCCTCTTCTGTTTCAGACCAGAAACAACACGAGCTTCACCTGAGCCACATGAGGCCAGGACTGAGAACATGTGGAGTCCTGCAGCTCTGAGGAAACATTGTGAACAGTGTGTGTGTGTGTGTGTGTGTGTGTGTGTGTGTGTGTGTGTGTGTGTGTGTGTGTGTGTGTGTGTGTGTGTGTGTGTGTGTGTGTGTGTGTGTGTGTGTGTGTGTGTGTGTGTGTGTGTGTGTGTGTGTGTGTGTGTGTGGAAACAGGCTGCTTTTTGTTAAGATGCTGCGGCATATGCTTTGGCCGGAAAGCAGCATTTGTTCTGCCTGGTGTGTACGGACTAATTAAGTGAAGTGTTATTCTGATGGTTTCACTCACTTCATATTCATCATTTGCGTTCAGATATTGAACACGAACTGTTATGCATGCAGCAACACTTTGTATATTGCCAAGAAATCTGCAAACTGGGACAAATACATGTGTGTGTGTGTGTGTGTGTGTGTGTGTGTGTGTGTGTGTGTGTGTGTGTGTGTGTGTGTGTGTGTGTGTGTGTGTGTGTGTGTGTGTGTGTGTGTGTTTGCTGAAGCCAGGCTCCCACCTCCTACCAGGACAGAAAGACATGTAGAGACAGACAGACAGATTTGACAGCCTCAGTTCAAACTTATCTTTCTTTCTTTCTTCATATATCATTTTCTCCACTCCTTAAACTCAACATTCAGTGTATATTACATAGAATGTTGCATTGCTTACTATGCTTGCTCATAGTTGTGGTTGCCTAAGAGTTTATGATCACATATTTTTTGGTTTAATGTTTGAGGTTTGAAATGAAAAATATAATTCTTATACAATGCATTTCCAGATGGTCTGTGCTTAAAAATTAGCAGGCTTTCATTACTGGGCTCATGGAAATATTGGGAGCTAAATATTGTGTCACTTAAAGAGGAGAGCCTACAGTGTTCCATACAAACAGCCAATCAGAAGTGAGGGATTGAACACGTCTCAATAATGATGGTTGTGATTGAATCTGTGTCTAACCCGCTGTCCTCTCCTGTCGCAGCGCTCAGTTGTAACGAGAATGACGGCGAGTCCATGGACCGGGACTCCCAGTACAGCTCCAGCCAGAAGACCAAGCGCATGAGGACGTCCTTCAAGCACCACCAGCTGAGGACCATGAAGTCCTACTTCGCCATCAACCACAACCCAGACGCCAAGGACCTGAAGCAGCTGGCCCAGAAGACCGGCCTCACCAAGAGGGTCCTTCAGGTACCCACAACTATACTATCCTCCACTGTCTTTGTCTGTCCTCCACTGTACTATACTGTCCTCCACTGTCTTCTTCTGTCCTCCACTGTACTATACTGTCCTCCACTGTCTTCTTCTGTCCTCCACTGTACTATACTGTCCTCCACTGTCTTCTTCTGTCCTCCACTGTACTATACTGTCCTCCACTGTCTTCTTCTGTCCTCCACTGTACTATACTGTCCTCCACTGTCTTCTTCTGTCCTCCACTGTACTATACTGTCCTCCACTGTCTTCTTCTGTCCTCCACTGTACTATACTGTCCTCCACTGTACTATACTGTCCTCCACTGTCTTCTTCTGTCCTCCACTGTACTATACTGTCCTCCACTGTCTTCTTCTGTCCTCCACTGTACTATACTGTCCTCCACTGTCTTCTTCTGTCCTCCACTTTACTATACTGTCCTCCACTGTCCTCCACTGTCCTTTACAGTCTTTTTCTGTCCTTTACTGCATTATACTCAATGGTGTAGGAGACAAATGCTATCAGGGGTTAAAGAGCTTCTCTTGTTTTCTGCACATCAGCCTTCTTCCAAATGTAAACTAAAGAAGTGAGGTTTTACTGGACCTCTGCTTATTTTAAGATGTTTCTATTCCGGTGAAATTCTTGGAAAGAAAACTGCAAACACGCTGAACAAAATCAGAAAGAAGCCTTTTTTTCTCACTTAGATTAAAACATTTAAGAAACTATTTTTAAAAGCTGCATAAAAAAGAATCCGAGATTCTAATTACCTCAAGCAACAATAAACATTACAACATTCAATGCATGTTTTTATTGGAATGCAAAGTTACCTCTGAAAAGAAAGCCTTGAAACAAATGTGATGTAGTATTTCAGTGGAAGATATGACGTTATGTTGAGTACTGAGAGATGAAAAACAAAAAGCTCTGTAGTACACGCAAAGAGAGAGGAAGCACAACACAGCGTTTGATTTCCACAAAAGACGACAGCAAATTATCTGGGGGACTGAGAAGAATAAAAGGAGACAAAAAGGTTTCTGAATCAAATTCTTTCTGAGGAGGAAAAAAATCCTCCCGCTGCTTTAATTAACGCTTGCAGAAAACAAAGCAGTCGTTTTGCTTTGATGCATTCCCGTTTTCACGCCTGTTATTCCAGCTGAAGCCGTTTCCCATGGCTCTGTCATGATTCCAGCGCTAGCACTGCTACACTGCAGACTCAACACAACTCACATTCTCATTTTCAGTATTGAAAAAGAGAGCAAAGATGGAGTGTATTAAAATAGTATATACATTAACATCAGGCAGAATGAGGAGCAGGGTACGTGTTTCCAAAGTGTGCTGCAGGGCCTTTTTAACGAGAGTAATGACTGAAATCATAGCTGCTTTTATCCCTATACACACTATAGACAGGTCAATTATTATCTTTTACACTATCATCTAAAGCAGGAAGCCAAGGCTCTTCTTTCATGAGCAAACATGAAAGAAAAGTTTATTTCTGTGGCTACCACGGGCTTTGACTGGAGAGAAAGGCTTTTATGAGTTTTGTACACAGCGTTGTGTTTTTAAGTGTTCTTTTATCCTTGACTGTAATTCGCAAACACACTTTTTAAAGGCACGAGGAGATGCTCACCCGTGTGTGTTGTGCTGCGGTGTGGCGAGTTAATATAAGTCTACTTGGGTTTCTGCAACATCAAAAATTATTCTTTGCTGTTTTGCTGCAAAAGGTCCATCAAACTAAAAACAAAATACCGTTATTTCCTCTGATGTCCCTATCAGCAGGATCTGTGTCAGATTTGGTGAGGGCTTGGTTACATTTAGGCTCAAAACGTCTGGGTTTTGGTTAGGGAAATAGCTTCTGCTAATTGATGCACTGTGTTAACCAGAATCAGAATCCCTTTATTTATGAGGGGACATGGACATTGTTACAGCAGAAAAGAGCCAAAGACAGCTTAATGTCCATCGATTTCAGCACAGTTTGAAACATTTGATTACACAGAGTTTGAATTACCTCTAGTTGTGTGAATTATATACACCATTATATATTTTATTTCTATTTCTATATATTTTATATTTATTCATTTCCTGGTTTATAATCCCGGACCTTGCACGGAACAAAGAAAGACAAAGAAATTATACATGTGAAAATATTTCTGTGTTGTGTGGTTTATTCACAGCAATAAGGACACTAGTCCTAGAAGGAGATGCTACACCCGAAATGTTTAAAGTGTCCTTTATACTGATGATGAGACCCATAAATGGTGAAGACCTACATCTAAAAACGTACACGTAAAAAACTGAAACGTTGAACCTATTATTTTTTATATAAACTTAATATTATTGCTTTTAACTAACCTAATACAATTATGTGAAATCTGTTGACATCATACATTTAATTAAAGTCAACGTTTCAGTTGTTTCAGTGTAGATGGATACAACAGATACCATTAGAGATGCAAAACATATATTTGTTTGTGTAATGTAAAGCTGACCCGTTGGTAATGATTAAATATGAGGGTCTTCAGGTGGTCCGTTCCTATAGTAACAGGATGATGTTGTTCCTGCAGGTCTGGTTCCAGAACGCCCGGGCCAAGTTCAGGAGGAACCTGCTGCGGCAGGAGAGCACGGGGGGGGACAAGGCCTCGGACGGCTCCACGCTGCCGGGGGGGACGCCGTCGGGCCCGGCCTCAGATATCTCCAACGCCTCCATGAGCCCCTCCAGCACCCCCACCACCCTCACAGACTTGACCAACCCAACCATGCCCACCGTCACCTCGGTGCTCAGCTCCGTGCCGGGCGGCATGGACGTCCACGAGTGCCGGAGCCCGTCACAGACCACGCTGACCAGCCTCTTCTGATGCCCCCCCCCCACCCCTTCCCCTCTCAACTCTGCTCCGCCCTACTGGATCTAAAACTAAGAACTGTTGACTCCTTCCAACATTAAATGGATTAGAGAAGAGAAGGTAACGGAAACATGAAAAAAGAAATAATTTCGCTCTGAGCCCATTAGAGACTATTTGCATAGTGAGGCGGCCGGGCCTTACAGATGGAGCAGTTGTTGTTATTTTGATGTTGTTGTCTTGTCGAGAACTGAGGAGACTTGATTTGCATTTTTCAATGTTTACAGAAAGAGACTGCGGGAAAAAATAAACTGCTTAATTTTTAATTCATTCATTTTTTCCAGCACAGTATTTATGTTGTTGTTCAAGAGTCACTGTTAGAAAGGATTGTAAAATATTCTTTTTTTGAAAATCTGAGATTAAACACAGGTTACAATATTCTACGACTGCCCCGTGCCTCACAGTCCACTTCATCTCAAACAGCATCACACAAAATGATTTCACTGCAAGAGAGTCATGACCTCCATTTGTACATGTGTGTGTGTTTGTCTGCATGTGTGTATTTTACATACAGTGTGCAGTGCTTTCATTTCTAAAGCTCCATTCAGTGGTTAGGTCTGATGAGAGCTGGGTAAACGAATGATTCTCCTCGTCATGTTTTTACCTACGAGAATTCTCTTCCTCACTTTGTCAAAAACAGGATTCAAGCAGAGCTACATGAGGACACTATGTTTGAAAAGCAATTATTATTGAATCATTTAAGATGAATGCACTTTTAGAATTGGCAAACTGGGACACAGGTCACATACAGAACTGAGACGGGGGAAAATAAGTGGATTATCTCACATCACATTTTCTTAGACTGTTGAGATAAAACGTATCATTTCGTTTATAATCCAACACATTTGCTGTGAATATCCTGACACTGGTGGCACTGATCAGATCCTGACTGAGCTCTCACAATTATACAAACATCCCTGCTGATCCTACTTTTCTTTTTCCATAATATAATAAACAAACTACATTTTTTGGTGCTCTTTTAGTCTTCCGGTCACTCAGTATTTACCCACTCACACACTGATCAGCTTCATAGAAGGTGTGAAGACACTCACAAGCGATCAGGGTTTATTATCTTGCCGGTCTTCCCGTCAGTGGATGAGCGGCTCCGGAGCTGCAGCTGCCTCTCAGTGTACACACAGTAGTACACACAGTATTTTATACTGTCAACGTTTCAGTATTTTTCAGTGTATGCTTTTGTGATTCCTCTAGAGCTCATAGTGGAAGTTCAGACACTGAGAGGTCGGGGTTTATATATATATCTATATATATATATATACAGTATATATATATGTAAATCCATCCTGATTAACATAGCTGACATCTCTCAGTATACATTTTGGCTTCTTGTTTCTTGACATTTGCATTGTTACTCATAACCATTCACTTGTATATTGCTGTTTGTTTCTGGATGGAAACACCTGACCTGAGTGCAGTGAAAAAGTTAGGGTGTCATTCTCTGGGATGGCACAAAACCTGGTGGTATTATTGTCTTTTTTCCATCTTCACCCAAGTTTAATAATGAGGGTGCAGTTTTCAACCAATCGCTATCACAGTTGTGAGAAACTAAATGCAAAGAGAGAATCTGGAGAGAATCTGGAGAGAATCAGCGAGTCTGGCAGGATACATCTGTGTTCTATTAGTATTATTATAGTGGGCTTTATGTATACAGTCCAAGGTGTCCAATGTCTCATAATCTGCCCATACTCTGTAATCAGTGAAAATTATTAATAATTAATCTGGGAAATGTAGGAAAACAATTCCAATTTCGAATTAAACAAATAAGATTCAGGTTTTTGGGTACACCAAATTCGAATGAAAAGGACTTCTGAAAGGTACAGATGACGTATGAAGTAAGAATACAATTTGTTTTGATTAATGAATACAAGTATGACACTATGTTATTGTTGCCCGTATATAAACAGGACTTCATCATGTTCAGATATCAAAGTTAATACTTATTGTGCAGACTGACCCGACTCTGCCGGAAAACCATGCTTTAAAACTTTAAAAAACACAAAAAAACGAACGTGAAACTGACTCGGTATCATCATTCCTTAAAGTAAAAATGTACATGTCATGCATCGTGTGTGTGTGTGTGTGTGTGTGTGTGTGTGTGTGTGTGTGTGTGTGTGTGTGTGTGTGTGTGTGTGTGTGAGTGTGTGTGTGTGTGTGTGTGTGTGTGTGTGTGTGTGTGTGTGTGTGTGTGTGTGTGTGTGTGTGTGTGTGCACTGCTGCAACCTGCTGTCTCTGCATATTATGTCTGATTATATAATTTCATGAGGACCGTTCATTTAACCCTTCTTACCGAATGTGGCATTAAAATAGAAGAAATCCCTCAGTGTTAAGCCCTGAGCCTGTTTTTCAGGCCTCAGGCTCGAAAATGACATTCCCAGAACAATTGACTATATCTTCCCTTCTAAAAGGGGTAAATTAATAATCTTTTTTCTCAAAGCAATGATAAACCTGTGAGTTGGATGTAGAACAGTTAGAATCAATATAGAATTTTTTTATTTTAAAGTAAATTCAGATTGAACATAGTAAAAAACTGTAAATTATAGTGTCCGTCCAAAAAGAAAACATTCCTTATAGTGAAAACCACCCTTGAATGATGGGATAGCAGACTAAAAGCTTATATAATAAGCATATAATAAGTACCCTGTATCAAGATTGATGCAAAATAAGGGACATTTGAGAGATTTAGAAGAAAAAAAACACTTCTGGGGTAATTTGGGTGGATTTTCCATATCTCTGGCCCCCCTCGGTCGATTTTGATGATTGACACCTCTTTTGAACCGTTAGAGCCAATAGAATCGAGGGGATGTTCCTAAAATCCATCTAAACATTACCCATTGGTGAATAAGTGATGCGTAGCCAGAATGCCCCGGAACCGGAAGCTGTCATACACTCTGGTAGCTCTCGTAGCAGCTAATATGAAATCTCCGTTATTGACATAAATATGAAGATGGATTATCAGTAATCATTTCAGACACATTGGATTAACCTATGGATTAACCTTCAGCAGCGTTTTTATCGTTTTAATGCCATTGAACACAACTTTTGATCAGAAACAGCAAAAGGTAAGACAAATTGGCCGTTTTTGCTACCTAAAGCTACGTTGTGTGATGTCTGGTTTTGCTTCCCATGTCGTAAGTTCTGATCGGGCAGTTTTGATACTTATATGTCTGGAATCTTTGGAAACTCAGCTTGCTAAGCGATATCTTGTTTGTGCAGATCCGATAAGTAATAAGGGTATTTTACCGTGAGTTCTGTGCTAAGTGCGTTAGAATTATATCGCTCAGGGCTAATTCAGAGCCTTTGTTATTACCCTTTTGTTTCGTTTAGCTAAAAATGGTTAATATTGTCTGAAAGCTTAGTTTCTTCCCATTAAGTGGGTATGACACATTCATAGTTTGTTAAATGTACCGGGGGCATGGGGCTTAACTGGTTTTAAAGGTCCCATGTCATGGCCATTTCTACTGATCATAATTCCATTGTTGAGGTATACTAAAAATAGATTCATATTGTGCAATGTTCCAAACTCACATTGGTTTCTCATACAGCATCTCTGTATAGTATGTGTATTCACTCTGTCCTAAACGGCTTGTTGGAGCTCCTGCCCCCCCCTCCCTGTGAGCCCAGTGGCCGTTTGCGAGACAGCGAGACACAGCCCGAAACACACACACACCCGCAGACTGGCTGGGAGTTTGTGTGTATGCTCAGGCTGAGTTCCGTGGTGTCTCGCTGTCTCGCCGACCCCACACCAGTGAGCCAGCTCACAGTGTCGGCGTTCTGGGGCAGCATAGACAGGTCTTTTCTGTGTTAGAGTTTTACTCGCTACAGGGTCTACTTTGAGGGTTTGTGACTCTGCAGACCGTTTACATGCAGAAAAAGCTACATAACACAAGGGGACGGGTAATAACCAGAAAAGCATGACATGGGAGCTTTAAACTAAGCATCTGTGCCGGAGATGAGGGTGATGGCAGCTGACAGCCTTCCGGGAAGTGCAATCATAAAAAAAAATCTGTTTTCACAAGCAGCTTTTCCTCAGTCTGCTGGAGCAAACTGTGCTCAATGTTCTCACGGCTGCAGGGACGAGAGCTCCTCGTAAAGGTAGGAAGATTTTCTACTTAAAAATATCACTTCACAATCCGTTCAAACAGAAGTTTAACAAGGAGGTGGTGAGTGGGTGGTGGAGGGAGAGGTCTGGAGAATTGCAGTCTTTACACTTTGTAAGCAAAACATGAATTATGAAAAACAGACCTTAACTTCCCCTGCAGTGCATAATTGCATAAATAAAATGGGTGTTCATAAAACCCTGGCAGCACAGACATGGTAATTATCTCTGCAATTGTGTGAGGAGTTTGAGGACGTGACCACAAAACACACTCAGATATCTGCTCAGATTTTACATCTTTATAGGTCTGCTCGCGTGTGCATGAACAAGAATAAAAAGTGTGTGTGTGTGCGTGTGCGTGTGCGTGTGTGTGTGTGTGTGTGCGTGTGCGTGTGCGTGTGCGTGTGCGTGTGTGTGTGTGTGTGTGTGTGTGTGTTGTGTGTGTAGCCCTCACTCCAGGAAATCAATCAGGTCAACCTAACATATGGATGCCTTGGTCGAGCCTGGCTGAAACTGCATATCACTGTGAGGACAAAACATACTGTAGTTCCGGTTATACATTTCTCAGTGTTGTAAAAAAGAAATTGGCCGCTTGCTCCACGTTAATGTGTGATGTGAATTTGATCCAGTTCTTACAAGGAGACGAAGAGCGTCACAACTCATAACTGAAAACCTGCTCCGTGGCAATAGATGATTATCTTATTATTTTCCTAGAAATTCTTATTCTAAGGACAATAAACTGTGTATTATTGATTTTCCAGGGCAGGGAGGCTTCCACAGCTTCACATCATTTCATTGTTTTGTCTCAGAATTGGTTGAATGCTGTCACAGCGGCCTGTTTGTCTGCTGGTTTATACGAGCATCATGGCAGCC